AGACATGGTCCCTTTTTGCTGTGTGTGCCCCCCCCCCCCCCCCCCGGCAGCCCAGTCTTCCTGGGTGTTATGGTGTAGGTCTGCCTCCTAGTTTGTCAGGCTCCCGTCGTCTTTCCCTCAAGTACCTATTTTGATGCAATTCGTGAGGATTTTCTCTTGAGATGACCCACGTTTTGCCAGTGAGAGTTTGGACAGTATGTGGTCCTTTGAGTCAGTTTTTCCAAAACTTTGTTAATATATTTTTCTCAACTGCTGTTTGTTTACTAGAGGCTCGTTGTCTGTAGACCGTTGGCATATGGAAAACAGAAAATAAGGAAGGGATGGGTGTTTGTCTTAGCAACCGTCTTTGGAATGGTTGTCAAGTCTCAGAATTCTAAAATCCTTGGAGACATGCTGGTTTCGAGCGTGGACATTCGCGTGGGCAATGACAGGCATGCCTTGAACTTGTCTCCCCTTTTTGGAGACAGGGCCTCAGTATGTAAACCTGACTGGCCTGGAACTCACTGTATTTACCAGACTGACCTCGAGCAAGGTGTCTACCCATTTCTTAACAGAGCCTTTTAATGAAAAGCTGAACTTTCCCCGTCTCAAGGCCTCTCATTATAGTAATTTTCCCCACCCCACCGTCTCTCCCTGTCCCTGTCCCTTTTCTTTCTGTCCTGTACCTCTCCTTTTTTTTTTCCTTTTTTCTCTTTTCACTCCCCCTCCCCACCTCCCCTTCTCCCTTTCTACCTTTAAGAGTGCAGGGATTCAAAACTACCACACTGAGCATTTTCTTAATCATCCAGCTGTGGACTTTGTGAAGACAGTTGATCGTTTACTACTAGAATTCTATCACCAGAATGGAGAGAAGAAATTTTGAAAAAAAAAAATGTAGGAACCTGAAAAAGTCAACAATGTTCGCGATTTTAAAGCACTGTTCAATAACTCGGCTAGATTCAGTGGTATTCCCTTTAGTCCATCATTTGGTTAATGTAATTGTTTAGTTTGATGTTCATTGTCAGATGAGAATCTATATTATAATTTTAAAACTTTCTTCCATATGCATATTTCACAACTCTAGACAACTAAAATCTATCTTAGAGCTGGAGGAATTTCTTTTTTGTCTTTTTGGTGGACCCCAGGGATTGAAAGGTCCTCAGGCTTGGAATCAAGTGCCTGAATGAATGTCTGATGCCACAGACCAGAAAAGAAAAGAAAAAAGTTTTAAGTGTATAGAGTACTATAAACTTTTCAGATTGGTGGGGAAATGATGAAGTTGTATAATTGGCTAGCTGTTTGAAGAAACTGATCTCAATATTATATGAAACACTGAAAATAACATGGAAAAGAAAAGTATGAAGAAATATGTACTTAAAAGTAATTCTGAGGAATGAAAGGCCTTTTTCCTTCTGCATATTTCAAATGCTGAAACAACCATAAAGGAAAAGGAATGAGTACACCAAAAAACTGAAAGTATGTAAGCCAAAAACTAGCAAGGAGAGGGGAAATAAATACTGGTGATGTATAAAGGGGCTAGTGTCTAGATATTTAGAGTACAGTCTCCTCCCCTACTCTTCAAAAAACCCAAATAGATAAGGAACACAGAGATAAACTGTTAATAGGCTTGGACTGATTGACGCCTGACACAACTTCATATTCTTAGAGTTCCACAGGCTGGAAGTTCAAGATCAAGACATCAGTAGGTTTGACCTCTTCTGAGGTATTTCTCGTTTGTGAAAGCTGCCTTCATAGGACCTTGCCTCTGTGCCCTCTGCATACCATCCTTAGGATGCATCCTCTTCTTGCAAGACCAATCCTATTACATGGATTAGAGACCTGCTTTGGGGACTTCAATTAACCTCAGTTACTTCCTAAAAGGCTCTGTCTGCATACAGTCACATTGGGCTTAGAGAGCACATGCCAATTCCTGTAGATCCAAAGTACCGAATGACTAACGGCCTGTAACACTGAAAAGAAAAAAATAGTTTAAAAAATTCATTGACAATTAAAGAAATGAAAACTTAAACAGGTGGAACAATCTCTTTCAAATTGTCATTTTGGCAAATGATGAATTCAGAATGCAGAAAAATAGATAAAAGTAATTTTAAAAGAAGGGCAGATTATTCCTTAGTGACAGAACTATGCAATAAATAAACATAGATATGTCTCGATGATTTATGAGTTTTTCAGAGGAGGATGGATGGGAATGAATATGTCTATTTGTTCAGTTTCTTCCTCAGAGTTAAGACTCGGCCATTAGCAACCATTTTGAACAAGGTTGGTACTAAGTTGGTTGAATCAAGAATATGCATCCGATTATTTTTCTTGTTCTGGGAGAAGAGACATGGAGTAAGAGCAAAATCTGCATCATTAGGTCACGAGAGATGCACCAGTATTATGCACCATCATTGTGCATTATCAGAGATGCACTTTTTTTTTTAATGAAAGTAGCACTGATCTGGAGATAGCATAGGATTTTTGAACCTTCTCGGCAACTTCAATTTCCATGATACTTTCCATAGAGAAAGCTCCGAGTCACTGATTCAATGATCAATTTCTACCCAATTATGTGTGATTTTTGAAGGTATTAATCCTGTCAGCTAACTGTTCACTATTAGTCTGTAAAGAATGTATCATTCCTAAAAGTGCCATATTGTTTCTTAATGATAGAATGTGGAGAAGAAAACTGAGTCCCAATACCCAATAAGTTGAAGTATCACCATAACTATATAAGCCTTGCATAATATAATCCATATAGTATTAGCAAAAAAGTTACTAAAAGTTTCAATATTAATGTAGTCAGCCATATTGCTTTATTAATTACCTGCTATGTGATCCGGTAAACTGTAATCTTTATTTCCAGCAGATGTCATGGTTGCAGAGTTGTGACTAGAAGCAATACAACTGATGTCGACAGGAATGGTCCTGGGCCGCTTTAGTTTCCGAGCTGTTTTAGTTTTCTGGTTTGGTACTGGTTAAATACTGAGAAATATGCTTTGCTTGACAAATTAAAAGCAATTAAATCAATTCCATTCACGGAGCTAGAAAACCAGAACTCACAGGCAGGGAGCAGAAACCGGAAGCTTCACAAGCTGCCACGTGGCAGGGAACCATGCCAGGGAAAGCATGTGCTTGGGAAATTTCCAAGTTGCCACACACAGTAAACTCCACTGTGGCGGGGGTTCTACAAAAAACCGCTTAGGTAAAAGCAAGCCAAGTGAGCAGGGTTGGGAGAGTGTCTGGGTTGTGGACCGGCTAGGCCGTTAGGCCGTCTACCCTGTAGGCATGGAGTTCGAATTCATATGGGCGCCAAATGTGGAAGGATGCTTAAAAGAAATCCCACACTAGCTCAGAATTGAGAAATAGACAGTTATTTATGTAGGGATAGACTCACAAATCAGAATCCTCTGCTGAAATGGAGATCAGAAACTGAATCCCGCAGCCAGAAAAGAGAGGCCAGACATATGCTCTATATCAGCATAAATAGTACAAGAGGCCATACCCTAGTGGTCAGGTAACCACTGGCTATAAGACTTCCCACAGCGATTATGTTCTGAGAATTCATAAATTTATAGTAAAGATCTTTTTTCCTGTAATATTTTTATTATTTGAATTATTTGAAAATTTTACTCAATGCACTCTGGTCACATTTGATTTTCATTCCTCTCAGGTTCACCTCCTACCTTTGTGCAGCCCCCCCCCAAAAAAAAGCCCATGAACACCAAATCCAATTTGTGTTACCCATATTTTCACTGGAGCATGGTCAAACTCCTAGTGGCCAGCCCCTTAAAGATAACTGAGACCTTCCCCTCGTTCATGCCAGAAACCTCCAACTGTGAAGAAGTACACTTCAGCATCCCTGTCACAATTTTTAAGGACTCTTCAATGGCTTCCTGTGTAGACTGTTTCTTTTGGGGAGAGGAGAGTGTTGTCATAGAAGCCGTCAGTGTCTTTCATTCTCAACTATGAGTCTTCAGTCCTTGCCCATAAGCCCATCATCAGCCAAGGGCAGCACAGAACACAGACTTTAACATGGTCCCCAATGGCAGCATGGAAGGATTATGGACACCAACACACAACCACATGGCCTCTGGCATTAATGCGAACCAAGGATGCCAACACAGCCTCTGGAGGCAATATGGACCGTGGTATTGACCCAGTCCAGAAAATGAACCATTTTCCATCTCAGACCTCCTGCCATTGCTCAGAGCAGGGTTATTGTGCAGCCATGAGGCATGTTCAAGGGCAGAGCCTCAGTGAGCTCCAGGTTGCTGCACAACACCCTGCTTGCACTACTCAGCACTGACTTTCTCTCTCCGTCCACCGCAGTCATGCTTCACAGTTGCGTTCTCCACTGCCCAGTCTCTAGTCTTACCTGTCTCTGACATAAGCACGGCACTTGGCTCTGCCATCCTTCCTACCTCTCCATCTCACATTTATCTCACATTTATTCATTATTCACACCAGACCAAGAAGTTTTTGGCTCCAGGCTGCGAGCTAGGTCATGCTGTGCGGGCTCCCTTGCCTGCCAGCCAGCCGAGAACCTGCCCTACTAACAGCATCATATTTCTTTGTTCATCACTACCATGTGTCTAGTTTCATTACTCTGCCACACGAGGCTCTGTTCTGCCATCCATCCATCTTTCCTTCCAGTTTTGTGAGTCCACCTTTTAAAAGCATTCCCTAAGATCTGCCTATTTTAGTTGTTCTGGAGATAGTGCAGGCTCTGCAGACTCCCCTGTCACCACGTCTCCCTTTGGAGCCTCTGTGGGTT